AGCCAGGAAGGCCCAAGGGGCTCCCAAGACGGCCACAGACGGCCCCAAGAGGGCGCCAAGAGGGCCCCACGAGGAGTTTTGGGAGGTGTCTTCGGGGGCACGACTAAGCGCTCCCGAGAAGGTCCCAAAGTTGGCTCAAGGCAGCCCCAAGAGGGCGCCCCGAACGCCCCACCAGGACCCTCGGAGGGGCCATTTTCGTGGATGCGGCTCTCAATGTGCCCCCCCGACCCCCCCCCCCAAGCCCGTCCAAAGTTCTTGAGACTCCCCACGGAGCGCCCGAAGAGGCAGCGCTGATGCATCCCAGCAAGCCTCCCAGCTGCAACATACGCTAATGCTCTTTAGGATTTGGACCTTGTATGCTTCTATACTTCGTGTTTTTCCAAGGAATCCCTAGGACAACATAGGAATGCACACTTGCAGTACCCTACTTACTCCTCGACACCCCTCTTCAACCATTGCTGCTATCATGGTGCTGTGCTGGGGTCATTTAGTTTCTGGTCATTCAATATTGAGAAGTTTCAGGCGAGAGTTGCCATTTTGAAAATGGGCCGCCCTCCATCCGTCTAATTGACGCGCAGTATACCGCTTGTGGTCATGATGTTTGAGAACCCAGGCGAGATCCATTGTGTGATAATGCACTGGCCTCCACCCGTGTAGCTGTTGGGCAGCTGTACACTTGTGCTAAGATTTGTTGAACGACCTGCATCAGTGTATCTGCTGCAAGCGTTTTAGCCGAATGCGCGGGCATTCGGCTAAAACGCTTGCAGCAGATGCACTGACACTCGGCCACCGTGCCGGCGCGGCATTCTGGGTGGCAACTGCTCGAGAAGGCAATGGGGGGCTGCCGGGGGCCTCTGTCGGCCGTCTTGGGGCCGTCTTGGGGCCTCATGGGGCTCGAAGCCTGGATTCGTGTTCCTACCCTTGGGCCCTTCTCTGGACCGTCCGGGGGCGCTCTTGGACAGTCGTGGGGGCCTCTTGGGCCGTCTTGGAGTCTTCTTGGGCCGTCTTGGAGCTCTCCTGGGGGCCTCTGGAGCCGTCTCGGGGAACTCTTGAGGGTTTCTTGGGTCGTTTTGGAACGTCGGAAGCTAGAAAAGGCGAGAACCCGAACAACATTGGGAAGCCGTGGGAACATCAATGATTGTTGTCTCTCGAGGCCTTCGGGAAGGATCTTGGGGCTCTCTTGGGACGTCTCGGCAGCCTCGTGGGCCGTCTTGAAGTCATCTTGGGCCGTCTTGAGGCCAACGTGGCCCGTCTTGGAGCGATACATGGCCTTCTTGTAGGCATCTGGGCCTCGGGATCGCAATCTTGTCTTATTTTGCAAGGGGCCCCCCCGCGTCCCCAGCGCCCAAGTGGGAGCCCCGCCCATTGCCCCCTCCGCTTTATTCCGCGTCGCGACGCACACCACTTCCCCCACCTTCCTCCCCGCGTCCCCAGCGCCCCAGTGGGCTCCGCCCCGTGCCCCCTCCGCCCCGACAATTTATTCCGCGTCGCGACGCACAACACCTCCTCCTTCCCCCCCACGTCCACAGCGCCCCAGTTGGACCCCCGACCCCCCCCCCAGTGTCCCCAGCGCTAGAGTGGGACCCCCGCCCCGTGGCTCTCTGCCCCGAGCCCCGCCGCGTCCCCAGCGCCCCAGAGGGAGCCCCGCCCACTGCCCCCTCCGCCACGAACGCTTTATTCCGCGTCGTGACGCACACCACCTCCCCCACCTCCTTCCCCGCGTCCTCAGCGCCACAGTGAGGGCTCCGCCCCGTGCCCCCTCCGCCCCGATAATTTTATTCCGCGTCGCGACGCACACCACCTCCCCCCTCCTCCCCCCGTCCCCAGCGCCCCAGTTGGACCCCCGCACCGTGGCCCTCTGCCCCAAGCCCCGCCCAGTGCCCCCTCCGCCCCGACCATTTTATTCCTCGTCGCGACGCGCACCACCTCCCCAACCCTCCCTCCCGCGTCCCCAGCGCCCCGGTAGGAGCCCAGCCCAGTCACCTGGAGCCTCACCTTGAGTCCCAAGACGAGCACCAAAGAGGGCACATATTGGCCCTAGAGGGCCGGGAGGTTCGAAACTCAATAACAAAACCATTGTAAAAACAATATGTCGTTCTTCTCGCCTTTTCGCTTCCAGTCGGCTCGGGAGGCGTCAAGATAGCCCCAGGATGGCTCCAGAGAGGCGCAAGCCGAGGCCCGCCGAGGCCCAAGGCTGGCCGAAGAAGGCCCAAATAATTGAAATTCAATGATAACCCATCGGGAAATCAATGTCATTGGCCTTCTCGCCTCTTCGCTTACGATCGGCTCTTGAGGCGTCAAGATAGCCTCAGGACGGCGTCAACAGACGAGCCCCAAAGAGTACCAAGGCTGGCTGAAGAATGCCCAGAGAATTGCAAATCAATAAAGCTCATTGGGAAGTCAATGTTTTGGTCTTCTCGCTATTTCGCTTCCGGTCGGCTCGGGAGGCGTCCAGATAGCCCCAGGATGGTCCCAGAGAGGTGTAAGCCGAGGCCCGCCGAGGCCCAAAGCTCGCCGAAGAAGGCCAAACCAATTGCAATTCAATGATAACCCATCGGGAAAACAATGTTCTTGGCCTTCTCGCCTCTTCGCTTACGATCGGCTCTTGAGGCGTCAAGATAGCCCAAGGCTGGCTGAAGAATGCCCAGATAATTTCAAATCAATAGATACCATTGGCAGATCAATGTTTTTGGACTTCTCGCTTTTTCGCTTACGATCGGCTCTTGAGGCGACGAGATAGCCCCAGGACGGCTCCAAATGAGTCCCCAGACGAGCCCCAAAGAGGCCTAAGGCTGGCCCAAAAGGGCCCGGAGAGTCGAACATCAAAGAAAACCCAAGGAGCAAGACAGGTCCGAGGATTCGAAACTCATTATTTGGGGGGGCGCTCTTTCCAGGTTCCCCGGCCTTCTACAAATACATGAATAGGAATCTGTCTATGTCTATGTCTATGCATATGTATTTGTGTGTGTATGTGTATGTGTATATGCATATGTATGTATATATACACTGCTCATCCCACGGGGGCACCGGCCACGAACTCCGGCCCACGGGTCTCTCCGCGCCGTGGGGGGTCCACCACCTTCCGAACGTCTTCGGACGGCTCGGCCCAGGACCGCCCTCTTGGACTGATTGGCGCACTGATTGGCCCAAGACCGCCCTCTTGGACTTCTCCTGGGGCCTCTTGAGCGTGTCTGGGGGGGCGCTTGGGCCGTCTTGTGCTGTCAGAAGCCGCCAGCACAGGGCGAGTATGCGAACATCTTTCACCACCTGTGGGCAGTCAGCGATTCTTGCCTCTCCACATCGTCTCGGGAGTCGTGTTGCTCTCTGGGTGCCTCTTTGGGGGCCCTCTCAGGGGGCCTCTTGGGGACCATCATGGAGTTCTTGAGGGCCGTATTTTTTGGGGGGGGCTCCCAAGACCCCTTCGACTTGGGGCGGTCGTTGGCACTTTGGGCACATTCGGGGCGCAGGGGAGGGGCAAGGAACCCGTGGAATCCTTATCGTTTCGCGACTCACCCCCATCCAAAAGTAGGCACAAGGCGAGTTGCCATGGCCATGGATGTGTGGCAGCACGCTCATCGGCAGTCCCGTTTAGCCCGACCGCTGGTGCAGCGGGTCTGCCTCGCCGCAGGCAGACAAAATGTGTGGCAGCACGCGGTCCAGCTGTGATCCGCGTCCGCGTTCGCGGCTCCTCGTGGTCGTACCGGTTGAGCCGGTTGAGCGGGTTGCTTGTCGCCCGTATTGCGTCGCGCGCGCCCGGGGCCGCTTTGGTATGCTGGTTGCCTGTCGTTGCTGGCCGTGCGTTCGTGCTCTGGAAGCGGCTTGGAGGCTTTGGGGGGCCATCGTGGGGCCTTCTTGCGGCTCTCTCGGGGCCTTCTCGGGGCTCACTTGCGGCTCTCTTGAGGCCCTCTTGGAGAATATGGGGGCCCTCCTGGGGGCCATCTTTTAAGCCCTTGGGCCAAGGGGGCACCCAAGTACGTCCTACCCCGTCTGGACCCGAACATTTGCCTCTTGGGGCGCTCCTGTGGCGTTCTTGGGCGCTCTTGGGGGGAGCCATCTAGGGCCAGGAAGGCTCATCTGTTACCTCGCCGGGAGAGTGTTCCAGACGCAGGGGGAGGGGCAGGGGGAAGGGGGCCCCCTCCCGAAGGGGAAGAAGGGGGGGGTACCAGAACGAGCTCGTTAGACCTCTCACGTCCTGCAAGGCTGGTGGGATTGGGCCATCGATCCCCCGTCTCAAACGCGCAATCTGGGGGCCGTGTCCACGTCGGCTTGAAAGGCTCCTCAGGAACCTTCCGGACTACGTACCTTTCTCGAACACCACACCTCACTGCGCGTACTTGAAGGTTGACGATGGCGTCTGTCGTCTTCGTGCGCTTGGCGTTTTTATGGATGCCGACTGCAGTCGCAGTCCAGCTGCTTGCAGCCAGCAATTCCTCTAACCCCTGGATGCTGTATGCAAACATCAACCCCTGCGATGGTGGGAATATGGGGTACGGGGCATCCGCGTGGTACGGCAGTGCTGGGAGCGCCGCCACAAGTCTTACGAACGACTTCGTCGACGGCACAGTGGGGACTGCTCCGGTGAAGTACGTCACCATCGCTCGGCACGCCGGCGGTGCATGCGAGATGTCGAAGACGTGGGAGCTTACGAGCAGCACCAAATCGATGTATGACTATTTTTCTGACCACAACCCTGGGAGGATCTATGCCACGGGGGATGGCAGCGCCAGCGACACCCACATCGCATCGGACATGCCGTCATCTTTCAGTGGGGATGGCACGCCGGGGGACCCGATCTTGGCGCCGATGGTGGCTTGGTGTTCAACTGGTGGTATTCGAACAATGGAGCTCGGGTTGCTGTTCCTGGTGGCTACAAGACCCCGTACTCTCTTCCGGGAACCGGGGAGAACAACGACGACCTCCACGGTCTGGGCAACGAGTTCGGTGCTAACACTCAAGCTGGTGGAGGGAGTGGCAGCTGGTGGCACGACGCTGCCAAAATCATGGGGGACTGCCACGGCACTTCCTGCCAGGTGCTTGGCAGCGACCACGGAAGTGCGTGGGGGAGCACGGACTTTGGCTGCTGGGGCAGCTACGCCATCTACGTGTCTGCTGCTCTGTCCACTTTCCCCTGCCAGGGCTCGACGCTGTCGGCGCAGGTGTCGGGGGCGGCAGCGGGCGGAGCGGGGGGCGCGGCTGCCGTTGGCGATCCCCACCTGCGGAACGTTCACGGTGAGCGCTTCGACTTGATGAAGCCGGGCAAGCATGTTCTGATCAACATCCCCCGTGGAGCGGGCGCTGAACGTGCCTTGCTTCGCGTGCAGGCCGACGCGCGCCAGTTGGGCGGACAGTGCGCGGATATGTACTTTCAGGAGCTGAACGTGACGGGGTCGTGGGCGGAGGCGAAACAAGCTGGAGGTTATCATTTCAGCGTGTCGCAAGGTGGCGACGTCGCGACTCCAGAATGGGTTGCTTTCGGTAAGGTCGTGCTCAAAGTCGTTCATGGGCGCACGGACAGTGGTCTGTCGTACTTGAACGTGTACGTGAAGCATTTAGGGCGAGCAGGATTTGCCGTGGGAGGTCTGCTGGGTGAAGACGACCACACGGGCATAGTCACCCCTCCAGAGGCATGTGCCAACCGCTTGGCCCTGGTTGACAGTACGGAGGGGGGCCAAGCAGCTCCCTCAGTGCTCTCAGTCGCAGAGGCAAGCCTCGCTTGACCATGCTTCAGTGCTTTCACTGGTGGTTCTCTGCTGCTGCTTCTCCTGTCTGCTGCTGCTCCTCTTCCTGTCTGCGGTCGGCGATCTGTCCATGTCAGCCGCTTCGAGCTCCTTTGCGCATTGGTGTACATACATTATTGGTTCGAGACGCTTCGCGCAACCCCACCAGCTCATCTAGAAACGATGCCCAGGGGAGTTCCCCTGATCAGGGATGTGGAATAGCATTCAGTGTAATAAAAGGCTGGAGAAGGCGTTCTGTCCCAATCGGGGGAGGATGGAGGAGACATCGGAGGAGGAGGAGGAGGAGGAGGAGGGGAGGGGGTGGAGGGAGGAGGGAGGAGAGAGGAAGAGGAGGAACACTCTCTGCTGCTGCTGATCATGCTGATCATGCTGATGATGATGTTGATGATGATGCTGCTGATGATGCTGCTGATGATGCTGATGATGCTGATGCTGATGCTGTTGCTGCTGCTGCTGATGATGCTGCTGCTGCTGCTGATGATGATGATGATGATGATGATGGTGATGCTCATTATGATTATGCTGTTAACGATGAGGAGGATGTGGAGGATTAGGACGAACAGTAAGAGGAGGAGGACACACAGAATAGCCATATGCCTCTTGGATGCTTCTCGGAGTCTCTTCGGATGTCTCTTGAGAGCTTCTTGGAGTGCTCTTGGGGCGTCCTGGGGGCCTCTTGACGGGCTTGGCCGCGTTCGTCCTAGCCAATTAGCCGCGTTCGTGGCCCAGACGTTGCCTTCGCCGCCTGACCCTTGTCTCGTGGCCGCGACCAAAAATAGTAACCCCACTTTTCTTGTGGCACGGCCTGCCCCTGCTGGCACGGCGTTCGACCCGCTTCGCGCGCCCGCGTACCAAAACGTAACCCCACGTTTCCGCTTCTGAGCGGGGCACTGCTCCTTTCTGTTTCTGGTTTGTTTTTTGTTTCGGCGCGGCCCGACCTAGGTCTGCCCGGCGTTCGACCTGCTTCGCGAGCCCGCGAAGCAAAACGTAACCCCACCAGCCCATCCAGAAATGATGCCCAGGGAAATTGCCCTGACCAGGGATGTGGAAGAGCATGTCCCAACAGGGGGAGAAGGTGTCATGTCCCAACAAGGGGGAGGATGGAAGAGGAATCGGAGGAGGAGGAGGATGGAAGGGGGAGGCGGGGGGGAGACAGGAGGGAGGAGGGAGGAGGAGGAGGGATATGCGGATGATGATGATGATGATGATGATGATGATGATGATGGTGATGGTGATGGTGATGATGATGATGATGATGATGATGATGGTGATGGTGATGGTGATGATGAGGATGATGATGATGATGATGATGATGATGGTGCTGGTGATGCTGATTTTGGTTATGATGATGATGATGCTTGTGTTGCTGATGACGACGGCGATGGACATGATGGTGATGTTGATGGTGCTGAGGCTGATGGTGTTGATGGTGATGAGGTTGCTGATGATGAGTGGTGATGGTCATGATGATGCTGATGCTCATGATTAAGATGCTGCTGATGATGATGCTGATGGTGATGCTGATGATGATACTGATGATGATGATTATGATGATGTTGATGATGATGATGACGATAATGATGATGATGATGATGATGATGATGATGATGATGATGATGATGATGATGATGATGATGATGATGATGATGATGATGATGATGATGATGATGATGATGATGATGATGATGATGATGATGATGATGATGATAATGATGAGGATGATGATGATGATGCTGATGCTGATGATGATGATGATGATGATGATGATGATGAGGATGAGGATGATGATGATGTTGTTGTTGCTTGTCTTGATGAGAATCAGGGGGATGATGAGGATGAGGAAGGGCAGTTGGAGGAGGAAGGCGAGCAGAAAAGCCATAGGCCTCTTGGATGCTTCTCGGAGTCTCTTCGGGTGTCTCTTGAGAGCCTCATGGAGTACTCTTGGGACGTGTTGGGGGCCTCTTGACGGTCTTGAAGCGTCTTGGGTACCTCGGACAAGCCTCTTGGGGCCTCTTGGGGGTCTCTTGGGAGCTCTTGGGGGCCTATTGGGGACCTCCTGGGGGCCTCCTGGGGGCCTCCTGGGGGCCTCCTGGGCGCCTCTTGGAGCCGTCTTGAGGAACTCTTGGGAGCCTTGGATGGCATCTTGGGGCCATCTTGGACGAGTTCGATCAACTGCAGCTCCTCAGAATCGCCTCTTGGACCCCTCTGAGATCGCTTTCGGGGTTCTTAGTGCCGTCCTGGGACCCTCTTGGGCTTCTCGTGGGGCTCTCTTGACCTCTTGGGAGGTCCTTGGGAGGCTCCGAGGCCACTTGGAGCCGTTTTGTGGCGGTCTTGGGGTCTCTTGGAGCATGTGGGAAGCCATCTTGAGCTATCTTGAGCCATCTTGGAGGTCGTCTTCTGCTCTTTGAGGCCCTCTTGGGGCCATCTTGGGCCATCCTGGACGCTCTGATCGCTCGCCGCCCCCCCCCCCCTCCAGGTCCACGGGAGGGGGTGTGGGCAGGGATACAGCCTTCCCTGATAGGGAAGAAGGGGGCTTGGAAGAGGACACTCGCCAAACCACTCACGCCCAGTGGGTCAGTGGGGCTCAGTGCGGCTGCTTCCTATCCGCACAGGTCTTCGTGTCAAGGCGCAGCGCTTCCTCATTGGCACTACTTTTGGACCAACTAGTAGCCACGCTGTTTCTGTTCAGATTCCCGAGCCCTGGTCGAGGCTCTGTTGCTGTGTCGGGTATTCTGCTCTGCGTGTTCGGTTCAGGCGGAGGCCACACGAGCTCGAGGGTAGATACTATCAAACTGCCTGCGGCAAGTCTCGCCAACGTGCCAGCCCCGCATTCTGGGTTGCGATTGAGAACCGTGATGAGGATGAACGTGTGATGAACATGCTGCTGCTGATGATGATGCTGATGATGGTGATGATGATCAGTATGGTGACGATGCTGCTGATGATAATGATGATTATGGTAATGGTTGTGGTGGTTTTGACGGTGATGCTGATGCATCTGCTGCTGATGATGATAATGATGGCGGTAATGGTAATGGTCATGATGCTGCTACTGTTGATGCTGATGCAAATGGTGGTGATGGTGATGGTGAGGGTGACGATGGTGGTGCCGGTGATGGTGATTATGCTGCTACAGCTGATGATGACGATGTGGATCATGATGGTGATGATGATGTTGATTATGGTGATGTTGATGCTGATGCTGATGCTGATGCTGCCGATGATTATGATGATGATAATGATATGCTGATGATGCTGCTCCTGCTGATGATGATTGTGATGCTGACGATGTGGATGATGTTGAGGATGGTGATGATCACGCTGATGATGATTATGATGCTGATGGTGGTGATGGCGGTGATGGCGGTGGAAGTGATGATGATGATGTCGGTGATACAGAAGATGATGGCGATGATGATGCTGATGGTGACGGTGATGCTGATTCTGATTCGGATGCTGATGCTGATGCTGATGCATCGTTTGACGATGCTGATCATGCTGATCATGCTGATGCTGATGATGCTGACGTTGATGATGATGCCGATGATGCTTATGATATTGATGCTGCTGATGCTGCAAATGATGATAAGGATGATGCTGATGCTGATGCTGATGATGATGGCGACAATGCTAATGGTTATTATGATGATGATGCGGCTGATGCTGATGATGATGGTGGTGGTGATGGGGATGGTGATGTGATGATGGTGCTGACGAAGCTGATGATGATGATGCTGATCATTGTGATGGTGATGATGGTGACGATGCTGATAACTGTAATGCTAAGTATGATGATGCTGAATATTCTGATGATGCTGGTGATAGTAGTGATGATGATGATGATGATGATGATGATGATGATGGTTTTGACGATGTTGATGATGGCGACGACGATGATGGTGACGATGCTGGTGATGCTGATGATAACGGCGATGCTGATGCTGATGACGCTGATGCTGTTGATGATGATGCGGACGCTGCTGATGCTGGCGAGGATGATGCTGCTGATGACGATGATGATACTGACGATGCTGACGATGATGTTAGTGATGGTGATGATGATGACTATGCTGATGGTGACTTGTTGATGATGATGATGGCTGATGATACGGATTACGACCATGATGCTGCTGCTGCTGATGATGATGCGGATGCTGATGCTGATGCTGATGCTGATGCTGGTGCTGATGGTGCTGATGGTGCTGATGGTCATGATGATGAGGATGCTGCTGCTGATGATGATGATGATGATGATGATGATGATGATGCTACTGCTGCTGCTGCTGCTGCTGCTGCTGATGATGATGATGATGATGATGATGATGATGCTGACGATGATGGTGGTGGTGGTGGTGATGATGATGATGATGATGAGGAGGAGGAGGAGGAGGAGGAGGCGGAGGAAGAGAACGGCCTTCATTCGTGGCGCCTTTTGTGTTCGAGCTCTCATGGAGCTCGATTGGCGTCTTGGGGTTGTCTTGGTCTCCCGTGAGGTAGTCTCGGGGGTCTCTCGGGGCCCTTCTGGGTCTTTCGGGGGCCCTTCTTCCGCCGTCTTTTGAGGTTCTCCTCCTGGCCCGCCTTGGGAGCCCTGTTGTGCGTGCGGTGGGCGTCTGGGAAGGGGCAGGATTTGAAGAATTCCACCTCGTGCACCTTCTCCTCTCCTCCTCCTTCTCCTCCACCATCCTCCCCCTCTTGGGGTATCGGACGGCTTTCCCCGCCCTTTGTTCTTCTGCATGCCCCTTCCACTTTTCTGATCACCTCAACTCCCTTGGGCATCGCTTCTGGATGGGCTGGTGGGGATACTTTTTCCCGTCGCAGCCGCGAGCGAAGGCACACGCAGCGTCAGAGGTCAACCTGGGCTACGGGCACTGGTGGTTATTTTTTTGGTCGCGGCCGCGCAGCAGAGGGCAGGCGGCGAACTGGTGGGGATTCGCGAAGCGTAAGCAATTCTAGAGTGCTCGCCTTCTCTTCGCATTCTC